AATTTCTTAGCAAAGGAATGAACATTTCCTGAGTCATGGCAGTTCCTTTAATGAAGATTGCCATTTCCTAGTTCTATTCTTAGTTATCCTTAGGGGATAACTTTCTTCCAGCCTTTCCCTCTATTTTTTTTCACAGTATGTCAATGGGGATTAAGATGAAAATGATGACAGAGTTTTGAAGAAGCCACACTTTAATCAGGCTTCTTTAGGGGTTGGTCACTGTCTTAGAAAAGGAGATAGAACAGTTACTCTTTTTCTCATTAAACTGGGTAGACCAAAACAAATTATTTTAGTCTCCAAAGCCCAAGAACTCTGGATCCTTCTGGATTTTTAATTTAGTTATTTATGTAAAATGTTTCTATACTACTTCCTGTTGGAAAAAAAAGTCTTGCAGTGTTTTACTATAAAAACAATTTCTTAGAATAGTGAATAATGTACATGAAATCATTTTACTTATTATAATTTACATCTGCATCCATCACAATCAATTTGACTTTTGGTAACATATGCAATAGAAATCAAAATGTAATAACATTCACAGTAAATTTATAAAAAAGCTTTGTGACAATAAAATAAGAAAAAAGAAATTAAGAAACAAAATAAAGTAGAAAAAAAATTGTGCAAACAATTTAAAATGCCTTCTGGAACAATTCCATCTTCAATATTTTTCTGATTGCATTCAGGCATTATGCCACCCTGATCTCCATAGGGAGACTGTTCCAAAGGACTAGCACTGCCACAGAGAAGTAGAACTTCCTTGCTTCAGCTTCCTTTACTAGGGCAATCAAGTAGTTTTTCTTTGGGAAGGTTGCACAACTGGCGTTCCAAGAGAGAATACCCATAGATTCCCTGGGAGATCATGATTTTGTTATAAACAAAACAAGAAACAACCTCCAACAGTCTTATAAAGGATGTACAATACAAATAATTTTCCTATATTGGATTTACAAAAGAGGATTGTTAATGTTTGAAGAATCTCATGAGAAGGCACAAATAAAAAAATGAAAAGAAATCAAGTTCCACAACATTATTTGAATGAACTAAAGATTAAGAGTGTTAGAAGTACAGTAGAAGGAAAGAATGTAAAGCTGGTTTATTTGATCAATGTTAAAATATATATGTTGTTATCTCTGATGAACCTCAACTTCAAATCTAACTCCAAGATTAAAATGATAATACTTTATGGATTTGTTTATAGATCAGAGATGGGATATGGGAAGAAAGCTCATTTATTGTATTTTAAGAGTAGTTCATAAGAAGTGGATTTCCATCTTCATCACAAATTTTAAAATAAACTTCTTTATGTATTTCTTTTTTCTTTACTATATCCTTAGTTTTTTCTTATTTTTTTCCCTTTTTGCTTTTTTATTTTCTCCATCTTCTGCTCTTTGTGTTTATTCTTTTTTTCAATTTGTATTAGTTTTTATTGTTTTAATTATAATCTTTAATAAAATTAGTGCCAAAATTTTTAAAAGATTATCCTAGTATCTGAAGCTGAATATTGAATAATATTCTGTTTTTTTCTATAAAACAAATACAGGTAGTCGACCTATGACCACAGTTGAGCCCAAAATTTCTATTGCTAAGCATGATACTTGTTAAGTGAATTTTGCCCCATTTTACAACCCTTCTTGCCACAGTTATTAAGTGAATCACTGCTATTGTTAAGATAGTAACATAGTTATTAAGTGAATCTGTATTTCCCATTGACTTGTCAGAAGGTCACAAAAGGTGATCACATGATCCCAGGACATGTAACTATCACTAATATGAACTAGTTGCCAAGTGCCCAAATTTTGATCATATGACCATGGAGATGCTGCAACAGTTGTAAGTGTGAAAAATGGTCCTAAGTCATTTTTTTCAGTGCCCTTGTACCTTTGAATGATCAGTAAGTGAATGGTTGTAAATCAAGGATTACGTAGTGTATGTATATGTACCTATACATTTCAAACATATAAAATGTTTTAGGTCCCTTTACTATTTGACAATCCATTAAATGTTTCTTTTTCTTACATTAGAGTAGGAGCATTCTTATAACAATGCTATTAGGCTGGTGGTGCTAAAGAAAAGCTCTAAATTGTCTAGCAGTTAGAGCTATTGATCTATAAAGTTCAAAAAGGTTTATTTTCAAACTTGTCAAACTTGTCTGCATATTCATACAGTAGGTGATTGTTTTTTAGATTTATTTTTTTTTTTACTAAAAATCCTTTTATTTGTAAACTTTAGAATCACACAGAATGTTAACTTCTAATGGCTTGGATATCAATAGGTATTTATCCAGAGAAAGCACTAATTTCAGAAATAATTATTTTTACACATATGTAAAGTGAAACACAATTAATTATACAGTTATTATACCTATTTTATATTTGAAGCTAGGTTTATTCAAAATTATTCTAAGATAGTATTATCTATGACACACAAAAAAAGAATACACATCTTTCGGTGTCTTACTGCAGAACATTATCTATTTATATTACAAGTAGAATAGCAAGTTTAAAAATTGTGCCTCTGTCTCACTTCTTCATTAACAAGTTCTAATTTAAGAAAAAAATGATTGGATGATATAAAAATATATAGCCTTAATTAAAACAGCTCTTTGCACAGTGATTCCACAAAAAACTAGAATGCTTGTTTTTCAATTGCTTTCCTGACTTCAAAGTTCTTGCACCAGACCATTTTACTCTAGTCTACTTCTTCTATTCTACCCTACCTTACTCTACCCTACCCTATCCTTTCCTTTCATTTATTTTGTTATTATTTATATTTTATATTGTTTTATTTTATCTAGTCCTTTTTTCTCCTTTTTAAAAAAGCCTTAATTGTTTACGTCATATATGACTGATATACTGTTTAGATTGTATTTGACCAATCCAGTGCTTTAAAGTTAAACAATGCTTTTAACTTCCTGGTCTTGATCGTAATTAATTAAGCAGATCTTTATTTAGATCCTATAATTGTGTGATCTTCTCATTTTTGAACCACAGAGACTTTTCAAAAAATAAATAGCAAGGAATAGATCCATTCCTTAAAATCAGGGTAAGAGTTTCTTTTAAATTATGTAAAATTACCTCTCTGTGTGACTTCAAAATACTGTATATGGAATAAGAAAAGGAGGGGAAGAGCAAAAGACAACAATGTCAGCTGTGGATTATTATGAGGATAGATCTGGCTATAGAAGGAATTCTACAATAGCATTGATGGGCAAATCTACAAAGTAATAAAACTATACCAGAAACAATCTAGCAGTACAAGGCACAAGGCAAAAGGTAGAAATTTGGCACAATGCAAAGTTTTAGGTCCAATTCTAACTTTATCTGAGGAGACTCCATACTTTTACAATAATAACAGAAATGTAAAAATTGAAGATTTATATATATATATGAACGGAAAAAGCAAAAGTGGAAGGCACAAGCATAGGGAAAGTGAAGAAAAGAGACTAGGATAAACAAGGAGAAAGAGCAGAAAGAGTAAGTGCAAAAGGAAAATGAGAACTTGGGAAACTGGAATACTGAATGTTTTGCTCAGAAACTGGATCACTACGTTCAAGGTCACTTCAGTCCCTTCTGGTTTTGACGTCATGGCGGAACGGACACAGACAGGTGGGGCTCTGTCTTTTGCGTTTGATTTCGCCCCGCTGGGGACTCTGGAAAGGGTTGAAAGTTGCCCCGTAGAGGTGACAAGCAACGAGGGGACCCTTGTTTGATCACAGGAAGGTGGAGGCCCTTCCGTTTGATCTTTCCCTCTAAACCAATGGGGGAAAGACTGGCTACATTCATGTAGCCAGTCAGAAGCTGCTAACAACGGAAGACAATAAGCACTAACAAGCAACTTTACAGCAACTTAGATGAAACCGGTGAGACTCTATCCTCTCTTTAAGACTTTAAGACCTCTTCCTGGAAAAAAAACTGCCCAAAGCATCCTCCCCCATGAGGAGGGGAGGGGAATTTCTACCCAATTCCCTCAGGAAAAGAAAAGCAGCGAATTAATTACTTGGGAGAAACAGAGAAAATTACAGTACAAGATTAATTTGGAATTAATATACATTTATGGCTTTAAATTTGGAGACTAAAAGTGCTTTTGAGACTTTTTAAAAAGAGATTTGAAAAGCTTACATTATAAATTGAGATTTAAAAAGTTAGAAAATAGTGCTAATGACATCTAGTGGTGAATTACAGCATTACAATTTGTTACGTCTAAAGGAAACTTGGCTTAAAGCCCAGATTTAGATACGATTCTTGCAGACTTCAGAAGCTTTTAGGCTTCTTATCGATGTGACAGAGATGATGAACTATTTTGAAACTAGCTTGCCTGAACAACGAATATAAATATTATCTGCCTTTCAGAGCTGTGTTGTGGAACTATTTCCCTGCAGGAGAAATACTTTCATTGCTTGAGATGATGGAATATTTTGGATTACAAATCCTTGATTGATGAACAATTTTTATTATAAAGATCACCTACAAAAAATGAAATGGATGTCCCATACTCAACTTGAAATGATAAAAAACTATCTCTAACACTTATTCCCAAATGCTTCAATTTGATATACTACCAAGAAAATATGGATGAAAATCAGAAATAAATTCTTTCCATGCTAAAATAAATACAAAAGATTCTTGCAAGTTCACTTCAGTCCCTTCCACACAAATATTTCATTTGTGAAATATTGCACAAATATTTCATTATTTTTAATGTGTGTTTTAATCAGAATGTACTTACATATGCATTAAGTTGAATCTTGAGTAGATCTGTTTGCAGAAATTCTAATTTATCAGCAAAGTACATGAATGATGACTGAAGCCCTCAGAGATTGACTGATACATATGAAAGTCAGTAGGGCATAGCAGTGCAAAATTAAGGAAGCATTTAGAGCTATTCAGGCATTCTGAGCCTAGTGAATTCCCGATGACTTCTACATCCCTCAAATGACACTGCAAGCACTTAAATGATAACCATGAATGTTTGCAGAAAGAAAACTTCAGGATATGACTTACATCTGGAAATCAATGTATGTAGAGTTGAAGACTTGAATGTTGCACGGTCCTTTTGAACAAGCAACTATCTGCAGAAGGAAAAGACATTGATCAGGCTTAATTGAAAATAGTCTCTTGGTTTAGAACTTCAGAACAAACTATGTTTAATTACTTGTCTAGTATCAAAATATTGTAGGTGACTTTAGACCAACTGCTCTCTTGTAATTTGATATATCTAACAGGAAAAAATACTAGGAAGGAATACAATTGCTTTCATTTTTATTATTACCTAACCTGAATGATCAACTTATAAATACTGTAAAAAAGAAAAATATAAATAAAAAATAAATATATTTTATATATTTATATAACAAAAATCTTATAAATACAAAATTATTACAACATATTTTTTTTAATTGAAAATTTTTGAATTTTACAAAACAAATCCCTTCCCCAACCCCCCCCCCGCCCTCCCATACCCTCCCCCATCTCCCCAAACCTACCATACCCTCCCTCAACCTTCCCAGAGCTGAATACAGGCTTAATTAAAATTTTTCAAAAATAAAAAATAAAAAATAATAAAAAAAACTTAAAACACATATAAATCCTAAACAAATCTAAATACATTAAATTAAACAGATTATCTTCTCTAAAAAATAATAATTGCAAACATTAAACACACATTATAATATACTCTAAACATTTTCTAGTATTATACTTATATTATTATCCTTCATTCTATATAGAATCCCCAAAACACGAATTTAAACATTACTTTCTTTAAATATCTATAACCTCTCTCTTTCTTTACTCTAAAACACAAAAATAAGCATATAAACATTCATTATACCATTAAAACTGAATACTCTTTTGAATAGTTAAACTAAATGCTTAAATTTAAACTTCTTATCTAAAATTTTCATTCAATCTCCATAATCTTCTCTCCTATCAAATAAAAAAGAACTTAAAAAACATATAAATCCTAAACAAGTCTAAATACGTTTAATTAAACAAATTACCTTCTCTTAAAAATAATAATAATAATAGAAAGAGAAAAAAAGAAGAGAAAAAGAAAAAAACCCAATCTTTAAACAAATTATAATATACTCTAAACCACAGGTCGGCAACCTGTGGCTCCGGAGCCGCATGCGGCTCTTTGAGCCTTCCCCTGTGGCTCCCAGCCTCCTCTGCCTTTGCAGAGAGAGACAGAGACAGACAGAGGCAATTGCGCTTCCCTGCTTCTCTCTCTCTCTCTCTGGGTGTGTGTGTGTGTGTGTGTGTGTGTGTGTAAAAAAGAGAGTGTACTCACAGTATTCTCCGAGGAGCTGAAAAGCTTACTGGGCAGAGCTCCTCCCTTTGCTGCGTCTCTGCAGGAAGCAGCTCCTCCCTTCGCTGCATCTCTGCAGGAAGCAGGAAGCAGGAAGGGCAGGAGAGAGCTAGCTAGCCCAGCTAGGCTGACTCAGGAATTCTGGGAGTTGAAGTCCATGAGTCATAAAAGAGACGAGGTTGTCTACCCCTGAGCTTGTTGGACAACAGCTTGAAACTTGCCAGGTGAGCAGCAGATAGGAGAGGGGGGAGAGAGAGAGAGAGAGAGGGAGGGAGGGAGAGAGAGAGAGGAAAGAGAGAGAGAGAAAGAAAGAGAGTGGGGGAAGAGGAGTGGCAGACCAAGGGCAGATAGAGAGAGAGGGAGGGAGGGAGAGAGACAGAGAGAGAGAGACCCTTTTGACATCTAAAATGAAGATAACACTGCATATATCCTTTTTTTTAACCTCTGTGTGTGTGTATGTATGTGTGTGTGTGTATATATATATATATATATATATATATATATATATATATACACACACACACACATATATACATACACACACACATACATACATACACACACACACACACACCTATAATAAAGGTAAAAAAGGATATATGCAGTGTTATCTTCATTTTAGATGTCAAAAGGGTTTTGCGGCTCCCGGTGTTTTGTTTTTGGTGGAAAACGGGTCCAAATGGCTCTTTGAGTGTTTTGGGTTGCCTACCCCTGCTCTAAACCTTTTCATATCATACTTATATTGTTATCCCAAAACACATATTTAAACATTACTTAAAACATTAAAATTCCCTTATACCTATTTAAATCTTTACCAATAACAAATTCCTCCACAGTAAACACATTCCTTCTCTTATCCATAAACCTCTTAAAGGTAGCTCCCAAAAATTTATGAATCTTACTTCTCCCGCAATCTCAATAGTCTTCTGAGTACTTAAACTAAGTACTTAAACTTAAACTTCTTATCTAAAATTTTCATTCGATCTCCATAATCTTCTCTCCAATAACCAGTTCCATCCACTATAAACACAATCCTTATCAGTCTCTCTTGTCCATTAACCTCGAAAGAAGTGCTTTAAAATCTGCCCTTAAAGGTAGCTCCCAAAAATTTGTAAACCTGGTTCTCCCACAAACTCAGGAACCAATACTTGTGAAGCTTCCTTAACCTCCTTCTTCTGTTGGTCTTTTTCTTTACGTTTATATGTTGCACAAGTTGTCCTCTGCTCCTTCATCTCGACTTGTTGAGGCCCCTCAAACTGAGATTTCACATTTTTCATTAATATAGGCTCTTCACACTGCAATTCTGCCCTTAAAGGTTGCTCCAAAAAGTTTATAAATCCTACTTCTCCCGCAGATTCAGAAACCAATACTTGTGAAACTTCCTTGAGCTTCTTCTGTTGATCCTTTTCTTTACAATTGTATGTTACACAGGTTGTCCTCTTCTCCTCCATCTCTACTTGTTGAGGCCCCTCAAACTGAGATTTCCCAAATTTCATAAGTGTAAGCACTTCAGACTGCAATTCTGCCTTTTTTTCTTCCAAAGCTTTAAACGTGGTAGGTGGCGATGAACATACCCCCAGGACCGAAGTATAAAAGTCTTTTGCTTTAGAAACAGTATTAAGACTATAACGTATCCCCAGGTAACTCACCACCATTCCAGTCGGAACATCCCATCTAAACAAAATTTGTCTCTTTTTAAGTTTGTCTGCTAAAAAAGCAAACTCCTTTCTTCTTCTTAAAATTTTAGATGGGATCTCCTTTAAAATTATAACATCTTGTGAAGCAATTTGAAACCTCTTCTTATAAAAAGCTTGTATAATTTCATTGCGTAGGGATCTTTTCCCAAAATAAATTACCACATCTCTTGGCAAATTCTTTTGCTCTGCCACCACAGAGTTAACTCTAAATGTCTGTTCAATTTCACTAAGTATTTCCTCTTTTTCTCTATTCAAAATCACAGCAAAGTCCTTTGCAACCATCTCTCTCAGATCTCCTTGCACAGACTCACCCAAACCTCTGATTCTTAAGGCATATTCCATTTGTTTATATTGAAGCATAAGAATCTCATCTTGAAAATTTTTCATCTCTTTTTCCATGCTTTCAAATTTTCCCTCCATCAATTCCACTTTTTTCTACTACTTCTTCTACGCGAGAATTCAGCTTTTCAAGAACAGAGGCAACTCCTTTCTTGCCTCAAAGTCTTATTGTTTTCCTCTAAAATCTCTTTCATTTCTCCCCTAATTTGAAGTATAACATCTCCCATCATATCTTGCAAATCCTTCACCATTGTTGACTGTGCCAAAGAAGAAGGTAAAGCTATTGATTTAGATTGTTGCGCTGATGATGACACCTAAGAAGAAGCCACCTTAGGAGCTGTAGGGATTACTGGATGTTTTGGAGCCATCTTAAAAAAAATCTTTGCTCCTTCTTAGAAATTGCAAAAATTAAGCAAAGGAAAAAAAGAAATTAACTCCATAAAATCAAAAAAAAAAAAAAAATCCTTCAAGAGGAGATCATTATAATAAAAAAGGAGTTCAAAAAAAGAGAAGAGAAAAAGAAAAAAAAAAAAATAATTAAATAGAAAAAATCCATTCCATTTTTTAAAAGTACAAAAAGTACAAGAAACAAAACAAAAAAGTTAAACAAAAATAATAATACTGACACTCCATTCCAATCATTAAAAAAAAACAAAAAAGAAAAAGGGAAAGGGAAAAAAGAAACACCAAAAAGCCTGCCAATCGCCATTCTATCTTCCCGAAAAAAAAAAAAACACCGAAAGGCTTGCCGATCGCCATTTTACTTTCCCTTTCAACAAAGGAAAAAAAAATAAAAAGAGGGAATATAAAAGTGAAAGTAAATCTTTAAACTTAAAATCCAAATAAAATCAAAGAAAGCAAAAACTAAATCCTCTACTCAGCTCTGTCCGCTTCTAAGAAAAACTTCACCAGTTAACTTTAATCGCGGAGGTGGTTGCAGCGGCTTGTTTTGTCCCTAGGGACAAAAGCAGCTGGGAAGCGGAGACAGTCTGAACTCCGTGGGAGCACTCTTTTCACCCCCCCAAAAAAACTTTGGGGGTGCATAAGAGGTTCTACCACTATTCAGACAACCCTCTTCCCCCCCCTTTGCCCGGGAGGGGGTTTTTGAACCGCTGAACAGCTGATGTCCGCTGTTCATAGCAATTCAAACACTTGCCCAGGATGACGGCTACAAAGTAGCCGCCATCGCGCGCGCAGATCCACCGGAAGTCAAAATTATTACAACATATTTGTTAATTTTAAGTACAATAAAATACTTTTTTTTGAAACTGACTGTTTTACAAGTTGGCTATATACACCGTTTTAAAATATACTACATATAGCTTAAAAACAAACAACTGTACAGAATTATGCCATGGCATCTGAATTTATTATGAGGAAACATTTGAGATTTATATATGGCATGTTTCTCCACCATGACTACTTTAAGATGCCAGAATATCTGGGGAACCATTTTATTCCAATGGGATCAACCTTCCTACTTGTTTCAGTGGAAAGACCATATTTTGGATTCCATCAACTAAATAATTTTGGCCGGTGGGGTCCAGGAGAAGAACCTTTTCTGCTGTGGCCCCTGCCTTCTGAAATATCTCCCATCAGAAGTAAGAGCCACTCCCATACTTCTGATTTTCCAAAAGAGCCTAAAAATCTGGCTCTGCCACTGGCCTGTGGTACTGATAGAGGCTTGCTTCATTGGGAGCAAGATTCTCATCCCAGGCTGCCCATCATCTTGGCTTTTAACTTTTAATCTTTTTATTCTAATTTTAAATGTTTTAGCACTTTTTAATTTATTATAATATTGTGAGCTGTTAGAGTTGCTATATTAGTGACATAGGTGATATCGAAATTTTAAAGGGAGGGAGGAGGGAGGGAATGGACTTCAATTCCCAGAATTCCTCAACCAGCATTAAACAACATTAGAAACCATTTTAAGAAAGCTGATATAGGTATATTAAAACAAGGAAAGGTAATCATAAGAAGTGGAGCTTCTGAAATTCTTACTAACCTTTTTCCTCTGTCACATGACCAAGAGGGGACTTAAGACTGGAACAATAAAAAAGTTATCCTCTGTTTTGCCCACACAGATATATTAGCAAACTGATGGTTTAGGAAGAATTAAAAAAGAGAAACATACTTCACATAAATTAGAACATTACTTTTTTTATATAGGGTCAGAAAACAATTTGTAATGTAATAATTTAACAAATTTGCATCCTGGATTGATGGATTTATTTTAGTCCCTTAAAATATTTATTTCATTGAGATGCATTATCTTGTAATTGCAAGGTAAATACTACAGCCTACATTTGGTATTTTTTTAAAAAAATAACATATCCTGTTTGAAAATGTAGTGTAACAACAATGCTATCTAGTTTTCTTTTGTTTTGATTTTTTGAAATAATTTTATTGATTTATCAAAATATAAAATACATACAGAAATTTAAAAAACTAAGAGAATTAGAAAAGGGAGAAGTAAAAGAAAAAGAAAATATGTAGGAAAAGAAGAGAAGAAAAGAAAAAGGCACCAACTTCTGACTCTCTTTAACACAGTAGGAGATAACATTACAGTCACAACTTTTTGTTTTTTCATAACAATATGTACAAACCATTTCTATAACAATACACCTATATGATTAACAAAAAACAAAATCAAGTTTTCATTTTCTTTTTCATTGCAAGCACAAAATCTGGAAGCAATTTCAAGATAGAAGCAAGCTTAAATGTATTTTCAACTTTGGATAAAAGGATCCGTTTAACCCTCTCTACTTCACATTGCTGTGGGGGATAATATACTGTATGCCTCTATTGACTCATTAATCTTTATTCTAATTCATATTAAAAGAATCCTCAATAAGGATTCAATTTTTTTTACCCTATCCTGTTTTCATGTTCCATTTAAGTATTTTACCTAATACAGTAATGGATTATGTTGTAATTTTAAAAAACTGTTGATTAACCAATTAAATTTAATCTTTAGTTTGCTGAGAAAAGACTCTGATGTTGAGAATGATTGAAGGCAAAAGGGAAGAGGGATGGCATAGGATGAAATGGTTAGATAGTGTAATCAACGCAATCAACGTGAATCTGGACAAATTCCAGAAGACAATGGAGGGCAGGTTAGCCTGGAGTCATGGGGTCGTGAAGACTCAGATATGATTTTGCAACAGAACAAATCCTGAGTGAATAAGGATTATTTATGAGTATGTATGGGAAATCAGAAAAATTGTTGCTTGTTGATGTGAATTTGTACGATATCTACACTAGCTATTATCATTTTCAAAACATATTTTGCTAGATAGTCCTAGCTTATGACAATATGTTCAGCAACCATTCAAAGTTACAATGTTGCTGAAAAAAAAATAAACTAATGACTCATACCAAAGTTATGGGCATTGCAGTGTCTCTGTGGTCACATGACCAAAATTTGGGCTTCTGGCAGTTTTCCTGTACTTTTAAAAAATATTTTTATAGTGCCTTTATTATTTGCACAAATAAATTAAGGTAACGAGATATCCGACAGTTTCCTCCTGCTATTTTCCCCACAGCAACAAACTTATGAGGTGGGTTGGGCTGAGAGTGAGTGACCCAGCTGTCTTTCACTTACTCGTCTCACTTGCCTATGTCCCCCTCATCTAGGTTCTTTTGGCCACCCTGCTTTACAGGACAGCCAGCAGCCCCAGAACTGCACAGCTCTTAGACTGCTTGCCATGCCTGGGAAGCCATAGTCAATATTTACTGGCCAAGTTGGCACATCAAACTTTCACCCTTTGCACCCAGCCATCATGCCCAACCTTACTGCCTTTGTTGTCACTTTTTTAGACCCAGCTTCTCTGATACATGTGCCTTAGATGCAGCTCCCCAACCTTTTGAAAAGCTGTGTAGTCTTTGGAAAGCTTTCTGAAACCAACACAGCTTTTCAAAGGCAACTTAGCTTTCCAAAGGCTATGCTATCTTTGGAAAGTATTTGGAAAGACACTGCAGTTTTCCAAAAGTTCAGGGAGCCACATGTAGGAAATGTTTGCTAGAAAAGCTGGGTCCAAAAAGGAGACCGCAAAGGCAGCAAGGTGCTTCTTCTTTGGCTGCAGCAGCTGGGCACAAAAGGCAAGAGATTGGTGCAGGGGACTAGAAGAAAAGGCAGCTGAGCAAACAAATGCTTGTTGGTGCTTGCGCAGCTGAGGTTTCGCCTGGAGTGGCAAGCATTTCAAGAACTATGTGGTTGTGCAGCCGTTTGTCACCCCACAAGGCAGAATGCAGACTGTCAAAGGGCAGATATGTGCATGAAGATATAAGAGGTAGTTGAGGCAGTATCATACTTTGCTGAGGTTTGGTGTTGGCTTCGAATGGTTTTGACTGGGGTGGGTACTAGCTTAAAAACCTGTGGTTTCTATTACAACAGGGAGTATTGAGATTGCAAATCCGTGGTGATGGGACATCTTGCTTTACAAGTATATCATTTAGTGATGGAAATTGAAGACCCAACTTCTTCATAAGTCAAGGACTACCTGTTTGCACACATGCATACCAATGTTTACCCCATGGCTGGCCAACCTTAAACCCCATCAATTCTAACCAACAAGATGAAGTGATATGCAAATTAGTCCAATATTGACCACAAATTCCCTGCTTTTGTTATTTTTTTAAAAAAAGATTAAAAGCTACTCTGAGTTAAATAATGTAAGTTATTTATTACAGCGGTCCAAGAATATTTCAGCTGTCTAATATATAATTATCCAAATATTAGACAATTACATAAGTATGCTTAAATGCTGTTACACACTATGCAAATGCAAAAATGGCTATTTCTTTCGGGAAGCAGACAGAGCAGAGTAAAATTAAAATTTCCCGATACTGAGGAAATCTTGTGCATATTCAGCTGTTAGTTACAACTTTAAATTGTTGTTACCAGAAATAAGGCTAAAAACTTTACTCTGCTTATATTAGAATAAGCTGCTTGAATGTGCTACTATGAAACATCCTTGTCAGCAGACTTGATTCTAAAGTGAGTTCATTTTTGCCAGAAAAGTACAAATAATAAAAAGGTGATAAATTGATCAGAGAGGAGATAAGCATTTATTCTAATACAACTGTTTACAGATTGAAGATCAGTTGCAAAATCTAAAGACAACAGAAAACCATTTCTTTTTGAAGAAAATGCTTTATATTTATATCTGCAGAATTTGCAAACTGTTTTCAAATTGTTCTAAAAGTAATACTGTACTGTATTATTGTCGAAAATCCACCTTTTTAAATAAAAAGCATTGAGACATTGCCAAGTGGCAAAAATATTAGTATTTATTGACATATTATGTTCAGAATATTATATTTAATTAATCTCTTTTTTCGTATCGTTATGATCACAGGAATGTTTGTACCACGTAGCTTATCGTGTAACGGAATTAGGCAAACCGAAAGCCTGAATTGAAGCATGCGAATTCCTTTCTAAACTTTCACTAACAATAGTGGCGTGCTCTACGGCATTTGCAAGGGTGGGTAGCATTTTTGAACATTACTGGCGACGCACATGGGTAATGCTCACGATGCTCAAGATTCAAAAGTGCAACGGGTTTATTAAGGAGAGAAATGGAGTCAGCTAGCATGGTCATTTGTCCATTCTAGTGGAACTGAGAGGCTACTATTTGGACATGATACAGTAGCACAAAGATGAGTTATGAAAAGCTGTTTCACTTCTCTTTCTACAAGTCGTGGAAGGCGTTTCGAGCGGCTGCTGGGCCGGAAAAGAACAGGAATTGGCAAGACAGCCACAAGATACGTATTTACTGTGTTAGTTGCTCTTCAAACTGCCTTCATTTTCGATTGCTGGTCAGCGACAGTAGCTAAGAACGCTTTTTTTATAGGTGTTTGTGGGCAGGGGATGGAGCACGAACGCTAAATAGGTCCTCGCAACAGTGCATAGATACGTACATACGGAGTCCGGCGTGCGTGTCCCGGTTCCTTCCTTTAAGGTGGCTTTTCTATTCCCCCGTCTCGGCAGCCACAGAACCCCCAGACCGAGACTGGCAAGCCGTCAGCAGAGCTACAAAGTCCTAAGCGAGCGCGCCGCCGTCGCCGTTGCGCGCGCGCACGCGCTCGCGTGTATGAGCGGTCTCCGCCTTCCCCTGCAGCTGGGCGCCTGCGTGCAAGAGAAAAGGGGGCGGTGGTTCAACTCAGCAAGCAGCGTCGCTGCGAGGCGGGGGGTGGTGGCAGCCGGGAGGCGGCGACGGCGGCGGCCGGGAGGCAACCCTCCTTTCGCTCTCCCAAGCCCCGCTTTGCTTTGGCGGGTCGATGGATCTCTGAGCGAGGGAGGGATCCAGGCGGGGAGGAGGGAGGTGAATGCCCCCTCTTCAGTGCCTTTGCACCAACAGCAGCAGGTAAAGTCGGCTCAGCCCCAGGAGGCTCCGCTCGGTGACCCGCCCGATTCCCGCAGTATCAAATGACCTGCCTTCGTCTGCAACCCCTCCTTTGGTTTCCCCGGGCTTCGTGTGGCGCCCTCCTCCTCCCTCATCTCCAGTCCCGGCTGTTACTGAGGAACAGCCGTAGGAACAGCCGTAGAAGGCGAGGAGGAAGGAAGTGATTTTGAGGCCTGCAAGGCGCCGCTCCCTCTCCCGTCGCCTGAGCTCCAGCTTCTAGAAGCAGGTCTGTTTGCTGCTTCAGTTCGTGACAACAGGAAGGTTGGAGGGAACCTTTTTTGCTCTCTAGAGACTCCCGAGAGGCAGAGGAAAAGGTTCCTTAATGGGGGCGGGGGCGGGCGTGTTTTACCGCCCTGTTTCTAGGGGAAGGAGAAGTTGCTTTTTCTCCTCCAACCCCACCCAAGTCTTCACTCTTTTCAATCTAGCTTGTTCTGCTTCGCTCTTTTCCGAATCGTTCCGAAAGGTTTTCAGTTTCAGATTCTGTTCTTCACACCATGTGAACTCAGAAGTAACCCCCAAGGAGTTCATCGGCATTTGCTTTCAAGTGAACGGGTATAAAATTGCACCTTTCAGACACATTTACCAGACCTTTTGATTACATCAGCTTACTCATCATATGTTGTCCCTTAAAAAAAAAAGAAAACAAAAGAAAGGCGTGTTTTAGATAAGAAGAACCCGACTAGCTCTTTTTTAAAAAAGTCTTAGATATGAAATTTGGTTACTGTTGGGTCACTCATGGCATCTTCTAGGAAAGTTTAAGATGAAGGATTATATGTCCCAAACTTGTCACATTCTGAGAGTGCCCACATAGTAGATGAATAAAAAATCCAATCATAAATTTATCAAACAGTGGAGTTTCCCATTAAGAACCAATTTGGCTCTTTCATTATGTGCTAGAGAAGGCGATTGATTTATTGATAAATATAGAAAAAAAATCATTAGTCCTGTGTATTAAATTAAAATGTCTGCATTGAACTTTGTCTAGCATAAAGTTAGCACAGTTTATAATGCATAGCTATATTTTAACTGAAAGGAAGATACAAAATTTAAAACCATTCCTCCAAAAGAAAAATTAATTAGAACAAACCTGCCGCCTTATTTAGAACAATTCTCATTTTAAGAGGAAAATAAGACTGGAAAGGATAGCACTTCTTGTCAAACACAATACTCTAAATTTTCACGTTGTAGAATTGGAGACATGTAATTCAACACAAGGTGAAGTGAGATGGGAGTTTCTTATCCATAGCAAATCTATGGAGGAAATGTCCAAAAACAAATGGTATATACAATGAAAAAAGATTTAGAAATGCCATTGGATCCAGGTTCTTGGACATGTCTAAACTAACTTTAACCATAATTATTACAAAGCAGTATTTTATTTCTTTCAATGATAAGTGTGTATAAAATTACCACATATTTAATTAGAAAAAAGCAAGACGTATGTGATTAGAAATGCTGCATGAATAATATAAATATGCACATATGAGTGTATATTTATATCTTATGTAAAATAAGAGGAAATGATAAAAGCTAGAATTTTATTATCAAATATATATGCTATACTTCAAATTTTATTTCATGAACTAAGACTTCTTAGCAATATTTATACATGGTTCCATAACATTGTTCTCAATAAGATATAGTATTTTATGATTTGGCCCTTGTTCCATTTTGGAACACTATTTTTTTTAGAACCTGTTTGGTTAAAACAGGGGTCTTCAAACTTGGCCTTTTTATGACTTGTGGACTTCAACCACCAGCATGCCTGGCTGAGGAATTCTGGGAGTTGAAGTTCACAAGTCATAAAAGGGCCAAGTTTGAAGACCCCTGGGTTAAAACATCAGGCTAGAAACTGGGAGATTGAGTTTTAGTCCAGCCTTAGGCATAAAGCTAGATGACCCTAGGACAGTGATGGCGAACCTTTTAGAGACCGAGTGCCCAAACTGCAACCCAAAACCCACTTATGCATCATCAGGTGCCAGGTGGGTGTGGCCCATTGGCTGAGTGTGGCCCATTGGGTAGGCGTGGCTACGGTGGTAACTACATACCGGGTGGGACTAAAAAGTTCAATCAATCAATTCCAACTTTACAAGATCTTTTTTTTTTCCGCAAGAAGTTGAAATTAACTGATTTTTGGGGGGTACATGATGGCGGAGGCCTAAAGTTTTATAAAACCCAGCTGAAGGCCTAGGACTGGGGCGATGGCGCGCGTGCCCACAGAGAGGGCTCTGAGTGCCGCCTCTGGCACCTGTGCCATAGGTTCGCCACCACTGTCCTAGGACCAAGGCAATGGCAAATCACTTCTCTAAAATCTTGCCAATGAAACAGCCAAGCAGTCTCCAAGAATCAGACACTAAAGGAAGAAAAAAAAAGTTTTTCTTGAACATAGACATAATTGATGGGTATAATATCCTTGTTGTGGTTATGGCATGGAAGATATATTTGTAGAGGTAACATATAAATAAATAACCTTAAACTTAATCCATTTGGCATATTACTGGGAGTCTTAATCAGCTGCTACATGAAAATCAATGGTGGCACTTCAGTGGTTAGATAGCCTAGAACAGGGGTGTCAAATTAGCAGCCCACAGACTGAATGTGTCATGAGCAGGCCATGCCCACCCTGGCTTCACAAAGGCAAAAAACGCTGTGATACGTCATGTGACATGACCGAGTTGACTCCCGTGGCCTAGCCATTGGTATTTGAACGTAGATCTTTTTACCGTTTATATTTTTATTGTGTTTTACTATTCTGGGTGAAATGTTAATGTGTATTGCTAGTCCATGTATGATATGCTATACACTAAATAAATAAATCAGTGATAAGCAAAAACTTTTTAGTGGGCAAAAAAAGAATAGAAATCCATATTTTATTTTATTAAATTTATATTCTGCCTTTATTTGCATATTTTAAGCCAGAATACATACTATTTCTGCCTCCTGTTTTTCCCAGGGTGGGTGACTGGCCCAAAAGTTTTCTTCATGAAATAAATCTGTGTTGAAAAGCCTACTGGTCTTACTAGAGACACCAGATTTTTTTTCTTTTTTAAAAAAAATGCTCTTGTGAAAAAAAAACCCACGAATACTTAATTTGATGAATTGTTCCTGTAAAATATTGCTCCAACATATATTTATCCAACTAAATATTGAGCACTGTTTTGCTATTAGATTTTTCAGTTAATAATCATGTGTATATTTAGCAATTTTTTCATTAACTGATAGTACTAGCAATTTTCATATAAATATATTCCATTGAATTAGACACTAAGAATTAAACTTAGAATCGCAGGCCAGGCATAAGAAAAATACATACTGCTTTAGAGAAAATAATGTTTTAATTCCTATTTATAACAGTCTCAATTTAGTCAAATTTTCTTTATAAGATTTTTTCTGTTATATAAGTATTAAAAGTGAAAGTGTTTGGGATAGTTTGAAATTTCATATATCATTGGAATTCAACATTTTTTCATAGATGCTATCTATATTGTTCTTCCTGCCATTTTTGAGATATTCTTAAGAAGCAGTAAAGTTAAACTTTGGCCTCGCTGTTACAATTACATTCTGCCCAAGTAGACCTGGACGTAACCACCAGTTGCTTAGAAACCATGTGAAGTTATGATAGACCTTCCCCCCCACGTACTTATGACCTAGTTCCGAAGTTCTGAGAGCTGCTGCTCTATGCAGTTATGTGATCTCATTTTGGGCCTTCGACACTGGCCCACATTTATTTCACATATATTTGCTGCCTCCTGCTGTCATGATATGATTTACAATATTTTTTTTCTGAAAAATATTTAATTTCAGTTTTTTACTAAAACGCCTTGTAATGAACAATGGATTGACTTAGTGACCATGACATTTGCTAATGCCCACAGATTTGCTTAATGACCATGGTGATTCACTTAATGACCATTGCAAAAAAGTTCATAAAATCAGATCAGTCGCCCTATGACCCACTTTACACTCATCACAAGTTATGGCTGTAAGTTGAGCACTACCTATAATTATTTAAATTATTTCACAAGCGTTAGTTTTCTTTATGCATTTTTTAGATTTTTTTTAATTCTTTTTTTATTACTTTGTAAGTAACTCAATGCAACAAGCATATGTAATATTCTTTCTTCCTGCTATTTTCTCCACAATAAAAACCCTATAGGTTGAGTTGAGCTGAAAGTTTGGCCCAAAGTCATCCAGCCAGCTTTCATGCCTGTGGTAGAACTCACAGTCTCCTGCTTTCTAGGCCAAGACTTCAACCTCTACACCAAACAGGCTGTACCTGTCATAATGTGAGCATTAGCTAGAGTGAAGCAATTACAGTGAAGCTCCCTTTTCTTTTTTTAATGCTGTACACAGATACTGCAAAGGATCTTACAGAAAACTGTTTTTTTTTTTCTAACTTCCATAATTAGAAAAGATTCTCCTGTGTCCAGTCCCACATTCCTGGATTTTTTCCAACTTTCCGATGAATCTTTGCAGGAATTTTCTGGTAGTCCCATTCAAATAGAAACCCTCAGTTTTTGAATTGGGACAAGGTGTTATTACTTTCTAAGGTTGTTGGTTTTTTTTTAAAACCATTTTAAATTAACAAAATATTTTAAGTGTCAATAGCTATAGTTTCTAAATAGGGAAAAGATTGACTGGAAAAAATGGCAATGTAAGAAGCCCAAGTTAAAGAGAATATTATAAGTGATCAAATTTGTAAAGCTTTTGGTCCAGTCTCTGAGATTCTCTGCTTAACGTATATAGTTCATCTGCCAACATTTTTACATAGGTTGCTCAGACAGAACAAAAAAAAATACAAATAAAGAAAAAAATGAGGTGCTTGTGAGATAATGGTGAAAGTTATTTTAACCCCCAAATTGGTTATGCTAGAAAATGTTCATTAATTGACTCGCTAGGCCACAGGTCAGCAACCTGCGGCTCCGGAGCCGCATGCGGCTCTTTGAGCCTTCCCCTGTGGC